CATCTTGGGCTTTAACCATGCCCTCAGCACACCTCACTCAGTACAAGTCCTTAGCACTGCGCAACAGAGGAACACACTGAGTCCCTGCCTTTAGGGGTAAACATCTCCCCAAGGGAATGGGGAGAATGAGGAAGAAAACTAGGTGAAGAGGGGAGAGGGCAAAGGCATTGCTCTCTGTGTGCTGACAGTGGAAAGGGGCAGGTGAGCAGAACCCGGAAGGAGCCTGAGAGTAGCCTGCTGCAGAGCACAGGTGGGAGCCATGCAGGGAAGGCAGGCCCCAGACAGCACTGGCCTCTCCTCGGCCTCTAGTGGGGATCTCTAAGGCCCTGAATGTCTGTCCTGGCAGGAGAGTTCCTTTACCTAGAGTCATTTGCCGGAGACGACTTTACTGTGTGGTTTACTGTAGGGCTGAGCACCACTGAGCTCACTCATGCTTGACCGTGGCCTGTTCCATGAATTTCCACTTAGGGTATCATGCTAAACGCTCCGAGTGTTTCAGATTTTGGGGCATTTCCAGCATGTAGGTTTTTAGATGAGGGCTGTAGAACCCGCAATTGTGGGGACTGGAGAGATGGCTCAGAGGTTAAGAGCACTGCCTGCTCTTCCAAAGGTCCTGAGTTCAATTCCCAGCAACCACATGGTGGCTCACAACCATCTGTAGTGAGGTCTGGTGCCCTCTTCTGGCCTTCAGGCATACATGCAGACTGAATATTGTATACATAATAAATAAGTATTTTTTTAAAAAGAACCTGCAATTGTAGCAGTTCTTAAATCACTAGTAGTGTTAGGGCCACTGTCAAACAACCAGCCCTCTCCTTTCAATTGTGTATCCTCAAACAGCACTGGAGAGATAAAGGGTGTGGGTCGTGTGGGCCATGATTAAAAACGTTTCAGGCCAATGACATGTTCAAAAGAAGCACACATTACTAAGTATTTGGGATACCAAATGAAAGTCACAGTGAAGTATCCCTGCTCTCCGTTAGTGTGGCAAATGTCAACTGAGTGGGAATTCCTGAAAAGAAGCTGTGTCGTGTGGAGAGGTTGGAGTGTTGCTGCTCCAGACCCTGATTGCAGTTCATCTCTAGATAGCCAACCTTTTGGAATATGTTACCAAAACGGTATTTTCCACCAATCAAAGGACTGCCTAAGGATGCTATCAAATGATGACATCTGGGCCAATAGCAAGATTTCCCTGCTTGGCCACTCTCCAAATGGCTTGATTTATGGCTCTTGTCTTGTTACTGTAAAAAGCTTATAAAGCTATTTCCAGGTGGGAATCTGAACTTGAACCTGTTCCCTGGCCGCTGTAGCTGGCTCCAGATTAATCCCTTCTCCCTTTGAGATCAGATCTGTGGTTTTACATCCACAAACAAAAGAACAAAGTGGGAGCTGGAGGTGCAACTCAAGTGGTTGAGTGCTTACCCAGCATGCATGATTTTCTGTCCATGAGCCCGGATGTCTCAGCTGGTCTTCAGTATATGCTGCAGACCTAAAGAATTGGGTTCTAATGCCAGTGAAGGAATGAGCTTGCCAATGAGCATACTTTCTTCTTCTGTGTCCTGTAGATAGGCTGCCAGCAAAAGGGATGTCTCGATTAAATGTGGGGCTGGAGAGAAGGCTCAGTGGTTAAGAACACTGGCTGCTCTTCCAGAGGACCCCGGTTCAATTCCCAGCACCTACATGGCAGCTCACAACTGTCTGTAACTCCAGTTCCAGGGATCTGAGACCCTCACACAGACATTCATGCAGGCATAACAGCAATGCACATAAACTAAGAATAAATATTTTTTAAAAGATTTAGTTAGAAGAAAAACATCTCTCGCAGGTGTACCCATCATTTGGGTTTTAGTTAATTCCAGAAAGTTGATAACCAAGAACAGCCATCACAAGTCCACTCTGCTTGGTACACAATCATATCTCCTCTATCATGCTTAATTTATAAATGAAAACAATAATCAGTTCATAATTATGCCTACTATCTTATAACACACAACTGCAAACGCAATATAAATTTCAGAATAGGTGTCACTGTCCCTTGAGGGACATTCTTTTATTATTTCAAATATGATCACCATTGATGCCCTCTTAATTGATGTTATGTTATATGATAAGGAAATCAAGAAACAAAGATATTTTACAGATATCTGTAAAAACACCTTCTTAACAAAATATGACAGAAGCACTCATGTCAGTTATAATCCTCATCTCTGCAATGGTCACATGACCCTAGCTGGTATTTATGATTACCTTTGTCCATTCCGTGTTTCCTCCACCCTCAGCAAGCATCTCGGCAGGTATTGGCTTTTCCTGGAAGAATAACCCATACCTTCATTCCTGAAGGGTCCATGTCCTTTGTCATCCTGCCTGGATCAGGTTGTTGTAGTTTCCTATTGGCGTGATTCACAGGACACGGTAGGACTAAGAAACACCCTAGAGGATCTCCTACACTCCAGACATAATCTGTCTTCCTCCACTGGGGAGAAGAAATCCAATTTCCCCTTGGTAATCTGGGTCAGTTGCCCCTCTTAACATTGTTATGTCTTTCTTAGCCTGTTGGCTCAAGGGTATCAGAAGCCCACAGTGGCTAGGGGGAGGTCTGTGCTTCCAATCGAATGGGAATGTTTGCTGTGTCTCCTGGCAGGAGCTCTTCCCCATCTGGAACCAAAACTTCTAGGCCAGCAGAACTTAAGGTTGCAGGAACAGGAAGCAGGAATGTTCCTGGTGGGTCATTAGGGGTGATAGTGGAACCATTTTCTCTTCCTCCCCTTGACTCCTGGGTTATGGATCTTGGCTATGGGAGAAACTACACTGTATGTTGGATGCTGATTCAAAGCTGTGCTGGATAGTTTTATGTCAAGTTGACACAAGATAAAGTCATCTGAGAGCAGGGGAGCTCAAGAAATGCCTCCATAAGATCCAATTGAACCCTATAGGGCATTTCTTAATTAGTCATTGATGGATGAAGGCCTAGCCCATTGTGGGTGATGCCATTCCTGGGTTCTGGATTCTATAAGAAAGCAGACTGAGCAAGCCCTGAGGAGCAAGCCAGTAAGCAGCATCCTCCATTGCCTCTGCATCAGCTCCTGCCTCCAGGGTCCTGCCCTGCTTAAGTTCCTGTCCTGTCTTCCTTTGATGATGAATGGTGATATCAAAGTGTAAGCCAGATAAACTTTCCTCACCAAGTTGCTTTGGTCATGTGTTTCACCATAGCAGTAGTAACCCTAGCTAAGAAGTATATACCACCTTCTGGAGAGCCCTGACCAGCACCCTGGCTGCTGCCACCTAATTGGTGCTATAACTGTGTCTTTAAACGGTCTTTCCATCTTTCTATCAAGCCAGCTGCTTCAGGATGGTGGAAAACATGGTAAGACCTGTGGATTCCATAATTGTCGGGCCACTGTTGCATGTCTCTGGCTGTGAAGTGAGTTCCTTTGTCAGAATTAATCAATACTCTGTGGAATACCATGATGGTGGATAAGTTCATGGATGGTGGTTTTGGCAGAAGCATTACGTGTAGGAAAGATAAATCCATTACCAGGATAAATATCTACTCCAGTAAGGACAAAGCATTGTCCTTCCCACAGAGGAAGCAGTCCAGTTGCAGTGAACCTGCCTCCAGGTTACTAGCTGTTCTCCCTAGGGAATGATGCCGTATCCAGGGCTCAGTGTTGGTCTCTGCTGTTGGCAGATCTGGCACTCAACAGGAACTAACTGTAGCCAGGTTAGCCTTGGTGAGTGGAAGTCCATGTTGTTGAACCCATGCATAACCCCATCTCTGCCACCATGGCCACTTTGTTCATGCGCCCATTGAGCAGTGACAGGGATGGCTGGGAGAGAGGCTGACTGCCCACAGAATGGGTCCTCCTAGGTGCTTGGTTCCTGAACTCCTCCCCAGCTGAAGTCATCTGAAGCATGATTTTTTTTTTTTTTTTTGGATTTTTCGAGTCAGGGTTTCTCTGTAGTTTTTGGTGCCTGTCCTGGAACTAGCTCTTGTAGACCAGGCTGGCCTCGAACTCACAGGGATTCGCCTGCCTCTGCCTCCCGAGTGCTGGGATTAAAGGCGTGCGCCACCACCGCCCGGCTTGAAGCATGATTATTAATAAAAGCTCAGGGAGAGAAATTGGGGTTCAACCCGAAGACCCAGATAGCAAAACAGCCAGCCACTAGTTCTTATCTCAGCCTCAACCCGAAAACAGCGATCCTGCCTCCAGGAATCTCAGAATGAGACTGTATTTGAGATCTGTCTCTTCCCAGTTTATAATCCTCCCTAGGGCTGGGATTAAAAGTGTGCACCATTATGATAAAAGGCATGACAAACTAGTGTAGCTACTGGAATTAAAGGTGTGTGTGTCCATTACCTGGTCTGTAAGGCTGATCAGTGGGGCTTTTTGCTCAAATCTTCAGGCAAGCTTTATTTATGAAAATACAATTGAAATGCCACTACAGTCACCTTTTGGTGAGCATTTACATGGAACACAGGTTCTTCACACCTTCATTTGTAAAGAACTATCCAAATACTTCTTCCCTAGATGTCTTTCTCACCAACTTTCCAATCATGCTCTTTCCAAATCAAGGCATTGGCTACAGCCCATGAATCAGTGAACAATCACACATCTGGTCCAAACAAAATGCGTGACCATGTGTACTGCCCGAAGTTCTGCCCACAGTGAAGAGTTCCCTTTAACAGTGTCTTTCAGGTTGTTCCAGAAAGGGGTTGTGATGCTGCAGCTGTCCACTTCCAGCTGTCCAGTGCTGCAGAGCGTGCAGAACCATCAGTAAACCAAGCCCTCGTCATCTCTCCCTCAGCCAGCTACTCATAGGGCACACCCCACGAGGCTACAGGTGCATGCTTGGAAGATGGTGTTGTAAATGGGAATAGAAACCAGAGGCATCTGGGCAATTCTTCACGTTGCTTGTTTGTGCCTTCAGAACCTGCTCGGGCTGGATCTTGTGTGTGTGTGTGTGTGTGTGTGTGTGTGTGTGTGTGTGTGTGTGTGTATCACTTCTACTTGATAATAGATTGCTGCTGTGCACAGCCTACATTATGACTTGATGGGTCCAATAACACCCAGCTCATGATGGGCAGTTCAGGTCTCATGGTAACTTGGTGACCCATTGTCAAATGCTCAGTTTCTTTAAAGCCCAATTACAGCCAAGAGCTGTCACTCAAAGGGAGGGTAGTTGTCTGCAGATGATGATAGAGCCTTGCTCCCAAATCCCAAAGGTCTCCTCTGTGGTTCACCTCCAGGGCTGACCAAAGGCTCCAAACAGCATCCCTATCTGCCACTGACACCTCAAGTACCATAGGGTCTGCTGGATCCTATGGTCCATGCAGTAGAACAGCCTGCCCAGCAGCCTGGACCTGTTGAAGAGCCTTCTCTTGTTCCAGGTCTCTCACAAAGCCAGCAGCTTCCCAAGTCATTTGGTATTTGGGGCAGAATAACACACCCAAGTGGGGAATGGGCTGTCTCCAGAATCCTAATGCGCCCACTAAACTTGTGCTTCTGTCTTAATGATGGAAGGGACCAGGTACAATAACTTACCCTTCACCTTGGAAGGAATATCTCTGCATGTCCTACACCGCTGGACTCCTAAGAATCACACTAAGGTAAGAAGGTCCTTGAATTCTGGTTGGATTTCTTTCCCATCCTCTTATGCGCAAATATCTTACCAAGTAATGTTTGCTGCTTCCTGCTCACTTGGTCCAGTCAGCGTAATGTCAGCAATATAGGGAACCAATGTGATATTTTGTGGAAGAAACAGATGATCAAGATCCCTTCAAATGCTGGGCAGTGGTGTACCATGCCTCGGGAGCACTTGGGAGGCAGAGGCAGGCGGGCAGGCAGATCTCTGTGAGTTTGAGGCCAGACTGGTCTACAGATGGAGTTTCAGAACAGTCAAAGCTATACAGAGAAACCCTATCTTTTTTTAAAAAAAAAAAAAAAAACAAAAAAAAAAAACCTTCAAATGACTGGGCGGTGGAAATGCACACCTTTAGTCCCAGCACTTGGGAGCGGATCTCTGTAAGTTCGAGGCCAGCCTGGACTACAGAATGAGTTCCTGGACAGCCAGGGCAGTTTACAGAGAAACCTGTCTTGAAATGAACAAATAAATAAAAATTTTAAAAACACAGTGTCTTCTGGACATGGCTGAACATGGCAGCACTTTGCACCCAGGAGCTCACAGCAGCTGTGGCGTCTGCACATAACCAAGTCAGTCAGCATTCCTGCATGGATTGCACAGGAGTTCCAGGGACCCGCCCGTAACCAAGGAGCTTTTGCCCACAGAAGAGAGGGAGAGTCGGTGTTCAGCAGTGTGGCCATTAGTAGGTGGACCCTGTGCCAGTGGATGGCGCTGACAGGATGTTTGGGGAGGTCCAGCACTGGTTGGGGCACTGGTTGGAGGTGGGTATGATTTAAATACATAGTATTTAGTAGCAGCCAGACAGAGAAAGCAGCGACACAGACCACAGAGCAGGAAGTGGATCTACTGGCAACAGAATGTTAAACCTCCCTAGAGAGGAGAAAAATTCCAAATCATGCATGGATGAGCCTTGGATATCAACACACCAAGTGAAACAAGTCACAAAAGGACAGACACTTTGTAATCTCATTTATACAGGGTACACAAAGTATCCTGATTTATACATAAAGAGCTATGATTGCCAGGGGCTGGGGAACTATTGTGTAACAGTCAGAATTTTAGTTTATGCCTGAATCTTGTAAAATTAGGGTTTGGTTTCCTTTTCTTCAGTGTTTTTAATTTAGCAAAAACAGGGACTTATAAAAGAAACTTGAAAATTCAGAAGAAAAAAGGAAATCATGATAAAGAAAAGAGCAAGCCTGAAGTCTGGAAGAGTTGATAAAGAAGTGCTAACCCTGGCTGAATAGTCAGAGTAATCACAGCGGGCTGGCACAACGCTCGCTGGTACAGTGCTGGCACAGCAGGCTTGAGGCTCTAGGTTCACTCTCAGCACCAGATAAACCAGCTGGGCATGAGAATTAGAAGTTCAAGGTTATATATATATGTGTGTGTGTGTGTGTGTGTGTGTGTGTGTGTGTGTCCCTTCAGCAGCACATATACTAAAACTGGAGGGACACGCGATTTGCATAAACTCATAAATTTATTTATTTATTACAGCAAGCCTATAAACCAGGTTGGTGTTGAACTCACAGATCCACTTTCCTCTACTCTCCCCCCTCCCCCCATTACTGCAATTAATGTGTATACCACTATACTGGATAGACAAAAAAAAATGTTTGCTGTTTTGTTGTTGTTGTTGTTTGTTTTTCTTTGGTTGATTGGGTTGCTTGTTTTTTTGTTTTTTTTTTTTTTCAAGATTGGGTTTCTCTGTGTAACTTTGGAGCCTGTCCTGGAATTCACTCTGTAGACCAGGCTTCAGTAGGCAGAGGCAGGCAGATCTCTGAGTTCAATGCCAGCTGGTCTACAAGGTGAGTTCTAGGACAGCCAGGGCTACACCGTGAATCCCTGCCTCCAAAACAGAACACAAACAAACAACAAATAAGCCCATTCTAAGGAGGAAAGCCTGCTGCCCTGCTCATGGCTGTGTGGTCAGACTGTCATCTAAATGTTCATGTTTACAGCATGTTACATGTTACGCCATGGGTCGGTGCAGCTCGCTTCCATTTACAGTGGCCAACAGCTAACGGTCATAACTGGTTTAAGTTTTGAAACAAGACAGTTGAATGCTCAGCCCTAAACAGGACATCTGTATTGGCACCTCCAAGGCTTGGGAACACTGCGAAGACAGGCCAAAGAGAATGTGACAGCCGGAGGAGGGGAGTGTCTGTGGAAAACACTCTCTGAACATGTGTGGCTTCTGTGCAAGGTGGAGCTGATCACATTCACTCACAGGCGTGTGTGTGTGTGTGTGTGTGTGTGTTTGCGGTTGCTAGGGATATCAAATCTTTTTCTGTTTTTAAATATTTATTGTATAGTTTTAAATGTATGTCTCTGTGTCTGCATGTATGCACTTGTGTGTTTGTGTGCATGTACGTGTAGGTGACCACAGAGGCCAGAAGAAGGTGTTGGATCCCTTAGAACTGAGTTGTGATGTGGGTGCTGGGAACGAACTCCAGTCCTGCAAGAGCAGCGAGGGCTCTCAACCCCAAGCCACTGCCCTAACCTTTTAAAATCTTTTTCTTTTTTTCCTCTTTGGGTACAGGGTCTTGCTATGTAAGGCCTGCTGGAACTCACTATGGAGTTCCATATTTAGGTGGAACTCAGAGAATCACAGAGATCCACCTGTCTTTGCTAGGATTAAAGGTGTGCCCCATCATGTCTAACAGAATCAGTCTTTAGTGGTGTAGCCCTTGCTCCCACAAATAACCACCGCCATGCTCGTGCAAGTGTCCCTTAAACACAACAGGCCCGTGTCTCTGTCTCTGTGTCTCTCTTACACACACACAAGCACGCACACACGCATGCTCGCCCACACACCCAACCTCATTGGGTGGTTCAAAGCCACCTGTAATTCCAGCTCCTGAATATTTGATGCCCTCTTCTGGCCTCCACAGGTATGCACATATGTGGGATACGTTAACACATCTGCATACATATAAGCAAAAATAAACCTTAAAAATTAGAAAATTAAATCCTTTAAAAATAAAAGGACCAGTCTGATGGTTCGGTGGGTAAAGGCACTTTCTGTCAAGCCTGGTAACGTGAGTTCAAACCACAGAACCCACATAGTGGGAGAGAAGCAGAGCTGTTCTCTCTCTTCCACTGCATGCTGAATGCGCTTGTGCACGCTTATTCACTCAATAAGTTTTAAGAGTTAAGTTCAAGATCATCCTTGGGTTGCATAGTTGAGGCCATCTTGAATTACACACACGATATCTTAAAAACCAATGAAATTCCATCTTCCAGTTAGAAAGAATACAAAAGAGAGTGATCAATCACTTGAGATTCGCTAAGTAAATGGCAACTCATGGGTAACTGGCAATAAAAGCCGCAATCTAATCAATTAGGGGCATTCTCAATACAATAAATCCTAACACTCTAGAGGGCGCAAAGACGTATTAAAATGTGTACACCCACCCACAGCAGTGTGCTTTTTTAAAAAAATCGATCTAAAGAGACCAAGAAAAAAATAGCAGGCATATGGAAGAGGCGCAAATGTGGACATGGAAAGTGGATGTAGGCTCCCTGTGTTCTGATCTGGGGGTTCCACAGTTCAAGTCCACGGAGATCTGGAGGCTCTCAGTGATGACTTGGAGACCAGAGAAAGGGTGGTCGGGATAGAGAAAGCGAAGAAGCTTGCACTCCGGGGGACCCAGCTGCAGAAGTCCTCCTGCCTGCAGCCTGAGGCGCAAACCTGTGGGAAAGCTCGGACGTGTGGCCTTCCCCGGACCCGGACCTGCCCACCGCCCAGCCACTTGCTCTGTCGCCTCGCATTCGGGGCTCAGGGGTCCCTCGCCAGGCTCCGCCCCTCGTGACCCCCGCGATCTCCGCCGAGGCAGGCAGCTCCAACCGAGTCCCCGGGGCGCTAAGAAACGCGGGTGGGCGCGTGGGGCAGGGCGAGGGGCGGGGACGCGCGGGGCGGTGGAGGCGGGGCGCGGTCACCGATTGGCCAGCGCGGCGTTCCGAGGCCGT